TATTTTAACGTGTTGTGTCAATAAACACAACCTGTCACCGCGATGACAGCTAGTATATACGTCTTAAAAACCATATAATACACATATGAAAGATGTCAGAAATAACGCAAATGAAACTCAAACTCGAAAAATAGTAACAGAGAGAAGTGGAAAAACACATGACTAAAGTCACGTGACTTTACTTTAGTCACGTGTTGTTTTTTCACGTGACTTTATTTTAGTTACGTTTTTTTAAAGACACGCGCAACAAAGTCGCGCTCGAACGGCGCGAAGCACTACCGTACCTTTTTTGATTCGTACGACATGTGTCTCGACATCGAGAAACACATCCGCGAAACGTTCAATCAGCGTCAAGATAAAAGCGGCAACAATCAAGATTGATAGGATTGATTGCAATTATGTACACACGCTTTTTCTGATAGAATAATTTTTTAATTGGCCGCGTTTATTTTCATATTGATGTTTCGTGAACATTTAAGTTCACTTTATTAGAGGTTCAAATTCACGTTCAGTATCTCAAGCTCTTTTTGAAATCCCAATAAAGTGAGAAGTAAAATCTCTACGAAACACGTTGATATAAAAATGACATTAATACGATTCAAATTATTTTACCAGAAAAACTCAACATGATTTGTTCTCGTTCTCGCGATTTAATATTTAATGGCTGAAACGAGAGCAGTTGAGAGTCTTAATAATTAGAATAGAACAGAAACTAGGATTAGAACGGCGTCACTCTTACTAGCTCTCACTGAAAACTGCGCGAGTGTGTGTGCGTGTGTTATCTTACGAGATAATCACACACATACACACACACACACACACACAAGGTGCTCCACACACGGTGAGTAAGCACACGATTATTTTGACATCCAGGGGTTGGGTTCTACGTCGAGAAAAGACACTCGTCTCACGTTGAATCGTTACAACGGCGGAGCTTGGGAATTAAAGCAGTAACACTGTAAAAGCGCATTTGCAGCTCACCAGAGGACTAATTTCTCATGCAAATTTATGTATCACTTCTGCCGCTTACACAGTTACAGCGTTTTCGCGATGAGTTCGTACGCGGTTTGCTCTGGACAAGTTTCGCAGAATTCGTTGCATCGACGCGATCAACAGCAGCAGCTGCTGGACGTAACTGAATATGCAATTGGCGAGTCTTCCGTTGCGGGATCCGAGTTTTCATGTCATCGTGCATGACAACGATTCGACAAAACGAGTATTAGATCCAGCGCGTCTACGAACTGTTTAGCAAACTGAAACGACGTACGTATATAGTTTGAAAGTGCTCGTGCGAAAATAAAATACTCAATTTAAAGAGCTCGACTTTATTACTTCGCATGGCAAAAAAAGTTTTATGATCCAACCGCACTTCTAATTGTCGCGCGAGCATTCACGATAGCCGTTGCGCGTCGTAAAAACCTCAGCACTTTGGCTGGTAGATTAAAAATCAATATTCTGGTCTTAAAAGTTAATTAGACCAACCAGTTCGCGCGCACGTGTGTGTGTGTGTGTTACTTTGCTTCCGCGATATAATCTATTTGTTCCTTATCGTGTATTTAATTTCTGTGTGATGTTTTATTTTCCAGTCTTTGTGAGTCGTGCTCACTTTGCGTCCCGAACGAGGCGTCACGCTTCGATCAAACTCGCCCGTCTGTGAGTTTGATCGATCAGTTTTTGTTTTCTGACTTTTTTGTCGATCACACGTACGTTCGCGCGCTGTTCATCGAGTCACTTTTCGCATTACGCCGCGATAATTAGGCCGAGATTATTACACGTGAATGCTTTGACAGCGTACCGCGTTCGCGCGCGCGCGCGCGCGCGCACGCTGAACATTGAAACGAGGCCGTTGTTCCCTCTACCACAGGAAGCAAATGGCACTTTAAATTGCCGGCCGCACACGCACGTCATCATCTCTCTCGCCGGGGGGATAACTGCACCGCGCGATCCTTCTCTCCCGTGTCGATGCAATCTTGATTCGAGCGACACGGGTGCCACTCGAGCGCTTTTATCTCGAACGATCGCTCGCGCGACGAAATGCGCGAGCTCCGAACGACGGCGATCATGTTATTTTTTTTTTTTTTTCGTTTCCTGATAATACCCTCGCGAGTGAGTTTCAAAATCGTATTTCTCGAATAATAGTTATGACCTTTCTCGGCAGGAATGTTACTTTCACACTCGCGCGCGCGGAGAATTTACGCGCACTTCGGCTATTTAATTAAAATTTATTTGTTTTTGCCTCGCGTGACAAATGTATTTTATTATCGCCAATGTTTGGTTAATTTTACGAATCGCAATTTTAAAAATCGCGCGGACACGCGTGGCTCTTCGAAACGATGTACTGTCGACAACAGACGTCGTCAGTGGACAGGGACGCTCTCCCGAGCGTCGAGAAATTAATTTATATCGCGTTTTACATGCTGTCACATGTCGCTCGACGATGACGCTCGCGGAGACGCAATGTGCAACGTTAATGACGCGGGACCTGCTGCGTCGCGACCGACTTTATCGGGGGATGTCAGGTTGTGATACTTGGATCGCGTATACTACCGTTATCGTAGGTAGTACAAGCCCGAATCGAGTATACTTATTGGATTCCTTACATCACTTGTCATCTCGCCGAAACTGCGCGATCGAGACGGATAAATACTTTATGTCTCGCGACTCGTTCGTCTCAATTTGGTCCTTTTTCTTAAACGAAAAACCATGTTCATAACTGACAAAGAATTGATTAAATTTTCGACATGTCAAGCCTTCGCGAATAAAATATGATACAACGACCTTTAGAAGAATTTATTACACTCGACGTATTAAAAATTTAAAAATAGTAAATATAAATATTAATAAAGTGTCTGAAAGTCACTTTTTTTAAGTGGCATCGCTCTGATGGAACTCGAAGCGGAAGTGACTAAAAATATCCCACAGTTCAATGTATCGCGGCTGTATTTAAAAATACTTGTTTTTGTTTTTATTTTTTTGTCGAGATGACTCAACCACGTTATTGCGAGACTGCACACGTTAATGTGCATTTATTTTTAAAATTACATCATTACTTGTCTACTTGAACAAAAAAAAAACAGTCTACGAAGTGTCAATATCATGTCCTATATATATATTTTGTATACATTTCACGTGTTGCGGTCGCGACTCTTTGATATTCGTAACGTTATAAGTCTTCCTCTGTTGACACATCCACGTGCCGATAATAAATGATTATATGTGCCGCGACGACATTATGTCGACATCTTGCGAACATCAGACCCCGTATAATTTTCCTCGCGAGAAGATGATATCTCATTTATGCTATATAATAAATTGCAATATGTGTGTGTTATTGTTGTTATCAGCTTGTAACCTGATTTCTTTTACCGTGTCTTCTTTGTGTGAATTATTCATAACAAAAGCAATCTGATGCGCGAGAATTGGCGTTTGTCCTTCGGCTATTGAATTACTCGACTTCTTACGTAGTGTTGGAAGTGGCGGAACAAATGACGATCAGAGAGAGAGAAAGAGAGGCAATTAAAAAAACGATTCTCTAGTAGCACACCTGTGAGAACAATACACTAATTTACCAAACAACTCTAATTAAACGGAAAAGCTCCCGTTTAATTTGTTTACTTTCTAAATTGAAAAGCACAATACGCTTTTTTTATTACATAATATTTAAATTTTACTTAATTTTCATATAAATTATATATAAACTATATAAAATATATATAAAATATATAAAAATGGATTTTGTAAATCTCTCTTTTTTTATAAGTTTTAATATGTTTATAAAGTATATATTTTTAAAAGTATTTTAGTCTTTTCGAAATTATTTTTGTTGCACCAATATATTACCAAATTCTCATACTCCGCGCGATACTCGCACTTTCGTTCGAGCACAGCAAATACCCGATTGCTGCGTAACGATAAGAATTAAAAAATTGCAGCCGATAATAACCGCTCGCCCTGCCATCGACCTCTCGCTGAAGAAAACAATCGAGGTTCATGTTTGTCGAAGAATCTATTAGTCAATTATTGCAATATAATGCAAATTTGCTGAGCACGCATATATATATTCAAACATTTATCGCTCGTTTTCCCTATTATTCTCTGGAAACGCAAACCTTTATCAACTCATTAAAACCGATCAAATCAGGTCATTAAAGCGCACACAATCGTGCGATACTCGCCCCGGTCGCGAAACGAGCGCCGCATATTTTAAACTCTTCCCTGAGCTTTCACACACTTTCATAATTTGCAGCGTGTGGCCGCGATCAGCGAGCAAACTCTACGAAATTCTATGCATCGGCACGGACGCACGTTGCGCGAACACCGGTTCTCGATTTCACCAGAAGAGAAAAAAATAATGCCTGAGGACGATCAGGCGCGTTTTTTTTTTTCCGCGATTGCGGGCATCCTTCCGCTTATTTTCGCTCGCTCGCGCGCGCTCGGAACGTGCATGATAGCACGTCGATCAAAACACACACAGACACCAATCGTGCAAGCGTATTACTAATTGATCCGATAAAATGTAACAGATCCGGTTATTTATAGATATAGTGTATATTTACGTATACACAGAGAGATCGCAAATCTACACAGAATCCACATCAGGGATAAATCGAGGTCACGATCGCTTTAACGGTAGTTCCTCCGGGCAGTCACTTTGTTCACGAAACCGTCTCGGAATAACCGATCGATACTTATAATTGCGTCACGGAAATTTCATCAATTTCGTTCGTCGCTGCCGGAGTACGATGACGTGAAATTGCTCTAGGGTGTGCGCGTATTTTTGAAATTTCTTATTCTCTCCTCATCGAACTGTTTTTTTTTCTTAAGTGCACGTTTCCTAACGTATATATTCGTCGTATGTATTTGTCATAAAATAAAAAATACTTTTAAAAAATGTTATTGCGTTTTAATATTCCAACTTGGTTATTCTCCGAGAGAGAGAGAGAGAGAGAGAGAGAGGGAGGAAAAAAACTTCTTCCTGGCTTCGAGCTGTGTCTACTTACAAGAAATACGGAGGGACGAATTGGCCGTGATCGTGCCGATCGTCAGAGCAGCCCGGTCGATCGCGAACCGTTCATCAAACCCGTCTTCACGACGTCGTGTCGGTACATCCCGCGACGCTCGTCGACGACTTCCAACAACCGAAAGAAGATGAACTAATCCGCTCCGGCATTCCTTTCTGTTAATGTCACGTCATCTCGGCGTCGGTTCTTATCTCAAATTGCTCTTCCCAAATAACAAGAGGAATTTGTGTATCGCAGCAACCGTGCTGTTACAGCCTTCCTCTCGGATAGTATAATATTCCGAGAAAAAACGCGAACCCCGACGCGCTTTCTTCTTCGAGATGTACACGTATTCTGATCGTATGTGCGTATGCAACGGTGGTATATGTACGTGCGTGTGTGTGTGCGCGCGTCCGCGCGCGCGTACCGGCTGCTGCCGCTGTCGGCAAATGAATGCGACGCGCCTGAATGGAAAGAAAAGAGGCCGGAAAGGAGTATGTGATATACCCGGCCCCTTTTACGACTCTTGCAGATTTTTTTTTTTTTCACAGATCAAGATGCGTTTGCACGTTCTTTGAAACACGCGCGCGAATTCGCATTTGCGTATGTTTTTTTTATCAATCGCTAATGCTTTATCAAAAGGCGCTGGAAACCTTCAAGCTCGACTAATTTTTTTTTTGTTTTTTTTTTTTTTAATTCGTTGATTTCTTTCTATTTTGTTATCTGGTTGAAGTGCAACGTCAAAAAGTTGCTCGCAGAGGCCGGTTGCCGGTCACCAATCGAAAGGATATTATCGCAAGGACCTGTTACGCGCACTTCCACATCAGCAGCCGGCACGTTCTCGGCACGTTCTCCGAAGCAACCGACGCTTGGCCGCGAAAACTACAGACAGCGATTTTCCACGTGAGACGAGAATGACGTAAAAGACGAAAAAATCATCTGACGAGTTTTAAATGTCGCGTTTTCGATAAACGCGGGACGAAAGTATACGCCGCGTACGTCGTGTCGGTGTCTCGCTTCGAACTGCCGCCAGACGCCAGACGAAGTCTTCGACTAGGGATCGTTCGCAGATCGAGAGGGGAGCCCCGAAGGAGCGAGAGAGAGAGAGAAAGAGAGAGGAGAGCACGCACACTACAAAGAGAGAGAGGTGGTCAACTTATGTGGCCCCGACGAGAAGGGAGATGCCTCCGGGACCTCAGGGGCACTGGGGAACATATGGGAAGTTACGGGGGAAATAGCGGCCGCGCTGTTGAGAAGAAGGCCTTTGTCGTATAGCGGAGAGACGGAAGCTTCAATCTGTTTGCGTGTTCCCGAGCTCTCTGCGAAGTGACAGAAGAGAACGAAGAGAATCCACGCAAAATCATATTAAAATAATAATTTACGGTACAAAGCGCCGCGCGCTTTTACAATAATGTAATAAAAATTTTGAAAACAAAATTTGAAATTTATAATAATAAAGTAATATTTATTGGTTTTAGATGAAATAATGTTTTATATTGAAACTAAGAACAATTTAAAAAGAAAGTTATTAACTCAATTTTTTACAAATTCTCTTGGATAAGAGAAATTTTGTCAGAGTTATCCAATTGCGTAAAGTCGCGCGTAAGGTCAGCGCGTTGTTTTTTAAGACTCAAGTTCGCAATCGTTAATCAGCCAAACTCTATCAATAGCGAAACTAAAATAACTTCGTAATCTCTTATCTTCGACTCTCTAAAAGAGAATGAGAAGTTTGCTACCGTCATCACTTCTTCGGGAATGCGAGAAGAAATTTCAGTAGTTTGCCGGAATTTTCTCATCAAAATTGTCGGATCGCGCTACCAGGAAATGGCGTCGAACAGTGCCAACTGTAATTAACTCCACCGATCGTATCGAAAAATTATCACTTGGCGTGGGCGAAATCGGCCCGTCATAGACATTCGAAGATGCGAAGACTATACAGGAAGAATTATGAAATGGTACGCGGAGAAAGAAAAAAAAGAGAGAGAGAGAGTAAAAGGAGATTCCTATTTTGTCTGTACGGCAATCGACGCAGAGGATCACGATCCCGGTAACTTTCTCAGGTACAAATTTAAAGGACACTCCGCGTCGTCTATTAACCGAGCAGACGAATCGCGCACGATTTCGAACATATCTCGAGCTAAAATCAAATGGAAGTGAGTTCAATAGAGTAGGCGTCGTGTAATTTGCTTTTCGTTATCACATAGAACGTTTTCTTTGTCGTATATGCTTATCCAGAAAAATCGATCTTTTTGTGTACCCTGATGTGATTTAAATAGTGACGAATCTATTATAATAAGAATATTTCCACTTTCAATTTAAATAAAAATGTCTACAAACGGTAACGTTTTTTAAGCTTCTAATGTTCTAGTGGTAGATTGCACAGAGAACTATCTCACGAGAAATGTACGTTATGTCATACTGTATCATACAAATGAGATAAGATACGGTGAATTCGTGAATTATAAGACGAGAAAATTCAATTAGTCCGCAACTTAATGTACAAAGATTGCAGATAAAATTTGAGTATTTATGCAATTAAAATCAAATTCTTACACTCTCTCATTAAAATCCTTGATACGACAATAAGTTATTTCACCAATAAAAAGATCCAAAAAAGACACAAAGATTATTAGAGATAAATGATAAAAAGCGTAAACAAAAAAAAAAGGTCGATGCCAATTTCTCAATTTTCAAAATCACACAATTGCAAGTATAAAATACACTATAAAACTAAACTACGACAATAAAAATATATACAAAGCAATAAAACCTCACCGACTTATGAGAGACCGTCTGTTTGCGCGAGTTGCATTTTGCGTGTCGAGGATTTTCAATCGCGCTGCTCATCGCGAATCTTCCTCGGAGGAAAATAACAGGATATATCTTAAGTACGGCCTTCCCAACGAAAGGAACAATAGCGAGTGATCCGCGAGCAGTCCAGCAACTGGGACACGGCTGTCACGATCATCATTACGGACAATAGTTGTGTTTTGAGAAACTTCCTCGATATTCACACTATATGACGCCGGTATAATATACCGTGAATCATAATAGCACGTCACATGTGGTGTCAGAATAGACACAAACACACACACACACAAAGTTTGTGCATTAACATTAAATATAAATCACCCAGCTTGAAATCCAATTTTACCTTGTTAATCCTCTCGCGCATCGCGTCTTATTCAACACACAGCCGTATCTATGTAATCTTTATTAGAGACGTTAATCGTAAATTCACTCACTTAGAAACAAACACCTCTTCCGGCCTAAAGGATAAATCGTTATGGGAACTTTAATAGCGATATTGATTTGCTATACCGTTAACGTTACTCTTAACTGTAAAGCATAGCGGCAGTGGATATGCGCGTAGAGCAGCAGATACACGGCCTGATCAAAGTGAGATAGATATTTATTTCACACTCTTAAATTACCGCAGTTGAATACGCGCCACACGGTGCCTGGATTATTCGCGTCGTCATTAGCGCGATTTGATGAGCGGATTGGAGAGGAAGCTTAACGGTCTCGCTAACTGTTCGCTCCGGCAAATAATATTCTAGTATTTTCTTCTCTCTGTACCCTCTTCTCTGCCCCTCTGTATATCGGGACGGTGCGCGACGACAGTGCAGTTTTGTATTGCAGAACTGTTAACGACCTGGTGCGCCAGGATATGTAATTACTCGCGCTCGGCTGTTACGGGCTCCCGAGACGATCCCGCTCGTCGACACGATGCCGTAATCGATCTGAGAAAGATGCTTTGATATACGCGAGAGGAACCGCAGAGAAAGAGAGAGAGAGAGAGAGGGAGAGAAAGAGAGCGCCGTGTTGTTACAATGGCATAAGCAATATCGAGGACGCAGAAGTCGTGGACCCGCACAACGAACGTTTCTCAATGATAAATATCACGCGTCATTTTGTCTCACAATCAATAATATACCAAGATGTCTGTCTGGCATGTATTTTTTTTTTTTTTAATATCATATAAATCATCTTTCGGAAAGAATACAAAAGGGGAGAGTGACACTAAAAGAGAGCGTATATGTTTTTTTCTCTTTAAATCGTTCAATATTTAAATCTGTTTCAGTTAGAGAAAAACTAAAAACTAACAACAAAACAACGTTGATATTTTCTGTCGAATTTCGACTGGATACACGATTCAATTATGTATTCCCAATAGTGGAAGAGAAAACAATAGGACAGAAGGAATAGATGATTCGGCGATACGTTATCCATTCCGTTTCATCTGTTTTCATATCTCTCTTTTCCTCTACTATTTGGAATATGCAATTGGATGTATAGTGAATAATAAAATCTGCATCCATGTGCATTCCCTTGATGCGCTATTTGTTTTAATTATGCTAATGAAACGTACGAACACGATATTCAAAAAAAAACAAAAAAACAAAAAAAAACAAACAAAAAACATTCAGAGAACATGTCACTCGTCAGTAAAATTGCGATATCAACGGTGACCGTTGTGTAGCACATTCTCTTCGTGTGGCTCCCGAAATCGTGTAACCACGATTAATAACGCGAATATTGCGCGTTGCGAGATGTAATGATAAAGCTTTGCTTGAAACGCGCGCTTTATGCATAGCAGAATGTCGATGAAATTTGCAATATGCAACGTATCGATAACACCGCGCGCAGCAAAAGCGATATCGCGCGCAAAGAGAGAGAGAGAGAGAGAAGCGCGATATCGGTCCCGGCGCCTCGAATCTGCACCGTTATATTTCAAACATATATACATATCAACGTATGCTGCATTTCCCGTAATGTGAATTGCTACATAAATAAATATCACACTTTTCCATTCGCGTTTTCGGTTTTAGTTTTCTTTCTCGTGTCACAACGCGACGCGACGCGTCGTCGTCTTACTCGCCGACTCGCTTTTCGCGTTCTCAAAGAGGTTTTAGACCGTTTCGTTCTCAGCAAGCTGAGAAAAACACGACCGGCCATTATGCACGTGTAACGAAGAGCGTATCTTCTCACGTCTCGTTCGCAAGTTCATTCCGCGTTCGACCTTTACAGTTGCAAATCTGCATGCGCCTGGCTGATGATATTAATAGATGACATTAACGAAGCGCGGTCTCCCCATTGAGGTTTTATCTACATGGTTACATATTTATGCAGCCTCGGAGAAAAATTGCAATATTTTGTTTCGCGCGAGAAAAATTGCACACGAACAAAATTGTCCGTTTGCCGATGGAAAAGTAACGGAGCGAACAAAGAGCAAACCGGAAACGATTTTTAACGCCGTGAATGAGGGATTTATGTAGCGACGAATTGTTTTTTTTTTTTCTAACCGCAATTTTCAGGCGCTCCACGTGAAAGCGGCGTTTCTTACGGAGAAGAGAGAGAGATGTTCGACTATAAATTTTTCTCAAGATCTGCACCGCACACTATTTCTCCCGTACGATTTGCACCGTCGAGTGTGCAAACCCTACTATCCGCGACATTACGTGGCGATTAGATAATGCGCGACGCGGAAGTTTAATTAAGAATACAATGGGCGTTGAAGTTCAAATCGCGCGTGCACGCGCGCTCAGAAGCGCGTGAAAAAGCGGAACACGCGCTTTTCCATCGCGCGGCGTGAGAGAGAAGCGAAAGTCATACATACGCGGCGTCGTAAATTTGCGCGTATTTTAAGGATCGCGGATTCAACATTTCGCAATCGCCGTTACGCGGCGATTCTTAAGATGATCGCGCGGATGAGCAGCGCGCGTGCGAGAAACGCTCTTTAAAAAAAAAAAAAAAAAGAAAAAAACACAGCCGCTAATAGCGCGCCGCGAATTTACGACACACAAGCGTCTAACAATGTCCTTGACTACCAAGTGTTCGATATACGACGATACCTTCGTTTCAAGTATACAACGCAATTTTTAAAGAGAGACGATTCGACGTTTGTCAAGCGTGTCGCGTATATTCCTTCCTTGCTGCTAAGAAAGACATATTTTATTTTACCGCGTTCTATTTTCCGCACTGATATCTATTCGAAGGACAGCAACAATTTTTATTGTGC